ATGTACACCTGGTATACAGGAAGAAGACACAAGTATCTGTCAAATAACAGTTTACTTATATTTATATATATTCAGTTTGTGATATATAACATATCTTCATGCCCCATTTTCAATAGCTTCAGAGCAATATTATTCAGTGGATTAAGGCACAGATTAGATCACACAAAATTAAATTAATAAACATAGGCATTTTAGCCTGGTATCCTTAAAGGATATAAGTATGGAGTAGGGGTGAATTCCCACTGTAATAACTTTTTCAAGCCTTGGCTGACCACAGCCAACTTTGGTTTGGGCACAGAGTGCTTAAAAATTCTTCATGGAAATGCACACCTCAATACTTCCAGCAGCAAAGAAAATGCCTTACAGTAATGCCCATGTTAGACAGCTAGGAGTTACAATACAGAAGTTAAATCTCAAGACACAAATCCATAGAATATCAGGCATCCTTAGCTCTACAGTTTTGAAATTATGTGGCAAACTTTAAAAAACCTTTATGTAATATGTCAAAAATATGTCTGTGTTACAAAGTAACTGGAAAAGTTTCTACATAAACACTGAGCAATCCCTAAGTTATTTCACTATTTTCACTAACTGCAAAACTGGCAATGCATGACTATACCAGCAGTTTTACATAAGATGATCTTCAAATGCAGCCTTTTTCCACCCAAAAGAATGTACACATTGCTGCCAGTGCAGTTACAATCTTGGACAACTGATCATTTTTACTCCTTATTGAAGTCTGTGAATAATGCCTTCTTGTGATTGTTTAATAGCCAGTACATAATTAACTGATCAAATTATTTACATTCTCTAGACTTTCTTTATGTGACCCTAAGTGCTACTGGTACCTCAAAATGACAGTGCTACCTTTGTGTTTAAAATGGTAATGCTGTCGGTGTTAGCTGCATTCACAGAGGAGGAGGTGAACAGATGATCACTGTAACATTTCACAAAGCCAAGTCCTCAGATTATTGATCCCAGTTGACCACAGCTGTTAATGCTGATAATCCAGAGGAAAACTAATGCTTAAAGAACACAGCACTCGTGTGACACATCAATCCTACAAGGCACATAGATGAACACATCAGCAGGTGTGGCCTGATTGAAATTCTGATCCCAGATTCTACATATGTGTGCTTCTATTTTGCTTGCAATGGATGTACCCTCATTAGGGATTACATAGTTGAGTCATATGATGTGTTTCATAAATTCCAAATTCCAAAATCGAGGAAGAAGCTTAAGAAAAAGCAAAGTAAATGCAGCAGTTTTTTTACACAAAACCCATGAGAGGAGCTGGATTTCTTGTCCACACTTTCATTACAGTATGTTTTAATTATCATAGACTTGCTTTCCTACTTTTCTTCCCACTCTTTGCCTATGCAAAGCAAACTGCACCATCCCTGAAGTGGCCTAATGCAGTTGACTTCAACATTTCAGAAGCAATTTGAATATGCTTGAACAGCTACATACACATTGTTTTGCAGGAACAACTTCAGTGTTTGTGAAAGACCATGACAACTGAGAAATCTGGACTCTACTTTTTAGAAAGATAACTGCTGTGGAATGGGCCATGTATGCTTTTTCTAGATTTTCCTGCCAACATACCCCAGTGTTAAGTCCTCTAAAACCCTGGTAGGAAAAGAGGAAGCTTTTTCTCTCCCTGTACATGTCATACTGGCAGTGAGTAGCACTGAAAGCAATATCAAATGTGTGAACAGTTTTCTGTGTATTCGTTCATTCAGTAGAGACATTACCAAACTCTTAGCTTCATGCAGTTTGCCAAAACTAGTTCAGAGGTCACTAAAGAGCATGACATACAAACCTGAGGGATGAGATTTATGAAGAGATACAAACACCTCCAGAATGTAAAGTAAGACATTCAAGCTATCCCATCTAAATAGATTTTGCTAGAAATAATAATCTTAGTAACCAGTATCTGTGTATGTAGCATTATTATTAGGAATTGTTAGTTTTCCCACTGTTTGAAAATTATTACTGCATGAATACATAAGATCTTCCAGCTCTGAATCCTTTATGTATATAAATTTATCACTGGGGTTTGTTAGAAGTAAATAAATAACATTTATCTGGAAAAAAAGAGACTAGTTTCATACAGGTTTGGGTCATGTCCCTACACCCCTCTTCAGGCCATAGTAATCCCAGGCACCCATCCTTCCATGGCT